GCCCCGCCCCGACGGCGGGAAAAGGCCCCTCCCCCCGGCCCGCAGGAGATGGGTGGGGGAGCTACGTGGAGTGGGGCGCGGGGTAGCGCCTCGTCACTGGGCGGAGACAGCGGGAAGGGGGGGCGGCGCCGTCAGGAGCCCTCCCGCCCCGGAGCGCTGCCAGGAAGCCGCACAGGGGGCGCGTCGCTTCTCTCGGCCAGGGCTCTCCCGCCCTCACTTCCCCCTCTGCTGCCTCTGTTCGTGCTGGCTCAAGCGAGCACCCGGCGCTGCCTCCTCCAGGGGGGTCTGCTGGTCCTCCCTCTGCTCCTTCACCCCCTTGCAGAGGCCGTAGGTCTCCATCCGCGGGGGTGCGCCCACGGCCCTCCGCGCCGCTCCGTGGAGGTCCCGCTCTCCGGGGCGGGGGCGTCTCTGCGCTGGGGGCTGAAACGTCGTTACAAACAAGTACAGGACAAAAGAGTGGAGTACTGCTGGGCCGAGAGCTGCTGTAGCAACAACAAATATAAAATATATATACACAACAAATATGTTATATATATATTATGCACCTACACACACACACACAACAATATCTCATATATATATATATATATATATATATATATATATGCACACACATACAACAAATTGACTTTTATTAGTAGATGTTTAGCATTGGGAATCCAGAAAGAAGATGACAAAGCCGGTAGGGAAATACAGATCCCCGAGCGAGGGGCTAACGATAGAGGGACGGGGGTGAGGAGGGGAAGTCAACTAGGTTACAGGGGATACAATGTTAGCCAACTAACCCCAGGGTGGGGGGAAGGGGAGGGAGGGGTTCGCGAGGCTGAGAGAAAGGAGATAGATGCACACAAACCCGTTACAATGGTCCGCAATGGTGGAGCAAGTGGGTTGAAGGAAGTGCCTCAGTCCATATAGAGTCTCATTGCAGGGGTCTGTTTCGGGTGGAGCGGGGTCGTCTGCGGTCGAAGAATCCTCTCTGAGTGAAGCGAAGGTCTGCCTGGTGCGGGGGGAAGGGGGGGCGGTTCAGGCGGTCCCCTCCGGGTCCGGTCCGGCGGTGGTTCGTCTGGTGGGGGTCGGTGTACCGGCGGTGGCCCGTGATGTGTTCCACATAGATGTCACGGGACCAAAGGATGGTGCCGGACACCATGAGGCAGCGCATCAGCTTGGCATAGCAGCGGGAGACGCGGCAGGCATGCAGGACGCTGTTGTTGATGGGGTCCCAGGCTCTGAGCGTTCCCACGATGAG